CCCCAAAACCCCAAAACCCCAAAACCCCAAAACCCCTCAAAATCTTTTTAGGGTTGAAAACTCCCAACGTTCAAATTAGATGTCACTTTCATCGAGTATGTTATATCCTATCCCACACCTTTCTGCAGTAAGATTTCTTGAAGCTGGTACAAAGGTATGTCAATGAGTTGAGTAATCTAAACAGAAGTGTACACACTTGATATCATACTTAGTTCATCCTGATTCCTGGTATTGAAAGTCCTTAGAATCCCTCTTGTGCTATTTCTTTGTCTTGAGTTCCTCTGGATATTCATAATCGATCTATTCGATTTGAGGTTCCTCAGACTTGGTAGGAAACACCCTAGAGGATAACGAGCGAAGCTACCTTTTCCTTTCTTAACCTTTTGAATCTGATTTTTGTACCTCAAATGCTTTTTATAATCATCTTCAAATTTTTTCAGTTTAAAATGAGGTTTCCTAGAAAGCTGTTGAAGAACGAATAATCACCAACTTACTTCTGAAGGATCCTCTGTGCCATAGAATGATTCTCAGCAACTATTTTACGATATTCACTGACTCTATGAGAATAATTCAGGCTGTTATTTAGGTGAATTCATTTGCTTCAGCCTAGCTTTTCTCTTATTTTGAGGCTTTGTCTTCATCTTTCTAATTCTTGATCACTAGCAATAAACAAGAAACTTTACTTTGCTCTTAGCCAAAGGATTGTTTGCTAGAGATAATACAAAACTGTATACTAGTAAGGTTAAGGAGCTTCCTCATTAATTTGTCATTTTCCCGATCAAGTTTGGTTCAGTACTCAGTTTCTCTAAACTCATTAGCTCTTAGCTTGTTCTGGAGGCATCTTTCTTCAATTTCACGTTCTTTATTTACTAATTTTAAAACCTTGAGCTATCGAATATTCTTCTCTTTTGGCCTAGAGATCAAATAGAAGAGCTACGTTCTGAATGGCATTCAAACGCTGATGATGAATTTGGAGACACCTAGATGAGCTAGATTGAGATCCTGTATCAGAGAAAAAATTAATGGGATTGGTTATGTTAAAGAGAAGTAACAAGGAGTACCTTAGCCTATATTTTTCAATACCAGAGTCTCTTTCTACGTATGTCGGACCTTTCATTTCAATAATTTATAAATAAATTGGGGTTTTGGGGTTTTGGGGTTTTGGGGTTTTGGGG